TATGTACTGTTTCAATTTTAATAAATAGAAAGGTAATTTAATTTTATGCATGATATTTACTTAATTTTAATGTATAGAGAGCTTTAAAAATCGATCTAAAAAATAATTAAATTACGCAAATAATTAGGAAAACGCAGTAATTGAAGAATTGCAACAGAAAACCTCGTTCAGTAAATCTTTTATGATAATAGATTATGACGTAAACGCATTTAAAGCAATGTTGATCGGATAGCATTTAAAATGCAACGTCGACTAAATTTTTAAATAAAAACTTATACCGAAATTTTTATAATATATAAGTTTAAAAATATACATTATATATAATTATTTTACGAAACTTATTTTTTTAAATTTAATTAATATTATATTTGGAATTAATGCTTCGAAAATATTAATGGCAGTGATATTTTGCAACCGTTGATAATTGATCTTGATTCACGCCTTACCAGCCCGCTAATTACATGGCATGCTGTTTTTATGTTTACTTTACCCGTTCACACACCTGTTTACCATCGAAACTCTTGCTGGAAAGCTCCCTTCTGGGAAGATCACTCTAGTGTTTTATTGCGTGATTCTATTGCTCTAATCCTTTTCAAATTTAAAGCATACATTATACAGTACTGGAAAGTAAATATCTAACTCAGATAATACAAATTGAATTAATTATAACCGGTTTTATATTCATGGGAGTATTTATACAACCCTACATTACTACCTTGAAAGGTCAAGTGGAAAGAATTTTATTGTTTTTTTTTTCTCTGGCTTACTTTTGAAATAATAGCGCTAAATAGAAGAATCGTCTTGTAAGTAGATTTACCTAATATCTTAATTAACACAATTTTCAGAAGCACTCTATGCAATTCTGCTGAGATGTGCACAGACACATCTCAGCAGAATTTGAGCGTTTAAATTCTGTTCAACATTTGTAAACAAACAGGGATATTCGATTTTAAAATGTCAGTAGTTTCCAGATGTTTTTAATCTGAGGTAAGATATCTTAAAATGGCATATCCAAACCTTTGAATAACGTGTGGATTCTCTCCTCACAGAGAAAATCGTTCCACAGACGTATTCCGCTTCGTCTGAGGAGCGATTTTAAAAGCATTTGTGTGTTTTAATTTACCGATTTATTTAATGTTAAGGACGAGTTCAGACAGGTGTATTCATATTTTTTATTGATGCAGTTTCAGTATAATATTAAAAAAAAGTTAGCATTTTTCTAATTTTTTAGCCTTAGTATCATTAATCGTTAGTAATGAAGGAACTATGCTTCCTCCGAATTGTGTCATCGGGCCAGAACTTGAAAGTATTTACAAATATACAGGAATTATTTTCGATAATTTTGTGATATATGGAAAGAAAAGCAATGATGACACAATCTTACGTCATCAAAGACTTTCCTTGTCTCACACAGCATCAGCAGTTGTCACATACAAATGAATCCTTCTCTCCTGTAAACTTCAGTCGTAATAACGGAATAGTCTTATTACTGTTTACCCGAACTAAATATATATTTATTATTAACGTAATTATTTAAATATTAGGCTAAATGTCGGTCAACACAATGGTAAAGGTAACTGCAGATTGACAAAAGTTTCCCTGTCGTGCCATTTCCCGTCGATTACTAAATTTAAGCAACATTATATTATTATAAAAATATATCATTTTACTTTATATTTATTGGTGTGTACAAATAATACCCTACGACATTACGTTAATAAACTGTTTGTCTTATTACAAAGACATAGCTGCTATACTTTTTAATGTTATTGTATTTTCAAGCAAAACTAGCTAAAGTCACGCTCTAATATAACAGAAACTTGATTACTTATGCTCAAAGGTCATAAAATTTTGGTTTAAAATGTTAGATAATACAGTTGACGATAATAGTTATTTAATTCATTATCAATATCAAAAGTTTACGTGTACTTTCATTCTTGACAAATGCCACGTAATCGTAATTATATTGTTTTCTTGTGATATAACAGGAGAAAGGTGAAGATAACGCTATCGTATGATTGTGTTCGATTATTTACGTAAACGTTAAACCAATCAAATTCAGAATAAAAGTCCAATAGTAGTAATTCTAACCTCTAAGAAGAGGCAATCTTCGATAATCAACAAAGATTGGAAAAAGTACAAGGGAAAAATAGAGAAGAACAGAGGCGAAAGTAATTATCCAATCCAGTCCTCATCGTCATCTTTCTTCTACACGTCCAAGGTAAGTGATTGATAGAGTAGCTCTGTTTATTTAATTTCCGGTACCATTTTATCCAGGAGTATCATTATTCTCGACAAGTTGTCCTACAGTTCAATTAATGTTAAGTCGATTAAAATTTAAATTAAAAAATCGGACAAATTTATGATACAAAAATTAACTAAATCACTATCGCAGCATCAGGTTGAGTATTTCCACTGTACAATTTTTCCTTGAAAAAATTAAGCTACATTATCGGCACTACTCCATTGTTAAAGAGAAGTATGGTGTACGGGAATGTGGTGAAAGATGGGGCCATGGAGTAAGACGGGGACATCTGTTTATTCGTGGTTAATGCGCTTTCATTTAGCTGTAATTTGGGGAACTAAATGCCTACCTCAAAAAAGATCATGAAGCGAGAGAACGTCCAAATCGGTCTGTTTCTTTGGAAATAAAATATGTTTTTCATGTTTCACCAATACTTCATCTAATTTTATGCCTGCTACAAAGTTTCTACAATGTAAGTATCATTGTGAACTTTTACATTACCTTTTACATGAAGATATTATGGTATTCGAAGTAACCTTCAAGGCTGTAATTGTTTAGTTTTGAAATGAGGTTTAGCTGTGTTTGCAGTCAGTATGAAAAATGTACGTTGGGTGCAATATAGGGTACCCGTCTAACCCCAGGTTGACCATAAATATGGCCCCAAAAATCCAGAAGTAATTTTGGAGGCAGACTTTATTGCTGCAGAGACGACAAACAGACCCCTTCAGCAAGGGTAGGCCTAACAAGAAACAAAAGACAAATAACACCGAATGCCTCTATTATAGAAGGTTATACTCTGTATCTACAGAGAGTTGTGCTAAATGTAGCCGTTGTGATAAACGGGCACACTGTTTTTGTGCCAATATTGAAGAAAACGACGGTTCAACCATTTTAATTTGTCCTTCTTTTATATAAAAATAATATCCTCATCTCACCCCATGGGTGGGGCAAGATAGTATATCTATATATATAATCGAGACGAGTTGATAATGATAATGATAATAATAATAAAATTCTTCTATAGCATGCAGAGTTCAAATGTTTTTTATATTACTAATTATTATAAAATAGCAAAAAGATTACTTTTAGAAATGAGTTTTATTTTTTTAAAAATTGTAAATGAATTTCCAAATTCACAAACTGGCTGCATAATTTCAGAAATTTTCAATAAAAAACACATAAAGTATTAAGGTTTTACATTGTAAAGCTGAATATCTCTATTGTGTAGTGTGTAGCACACTAACATGTCTACATCCATTAAAACCCTCGACTTGTTTGCTTTTCTAGACGTTTCAAAACGTCCTTAACCCAAAAGTGGGAAAATCTGGATATCTGTTTTTGCCGAATTGCCATACTTTCTGCTACAGCCGAAAATCTAAAAATTGTATACCTGTAAACTCTTATTGTTCTACGTCTGTCTGTCCTTCTTTAATTTCGAGAACTGAGATATATAGATTAAACTCGAGACAATATATAGAAACCATAGAAACATGAGGTTCCGGTAAATGATACAGAAACTACGAATGCAAATCGTAAGTCATGTTATTTTTATTCAAATATTTTCTCCCGAAAAGTGATAGATAGACGACCGACACGACTCTACAGTTAAAGAAAAAGTATGATAAACAGGGGCAAGCCACTACTAATTTGAGTTGAAAAGCATATACTTTAAATTCAAAAATTATTAAAAATATGACTAAAAATTTCAGTTCGGAATTTTGACGATATCACAATAAATAATTGACGATTACTTTTATTATTTCTAAGCGAATTAGCTTGTTTTCATTTCTTCTTATACCTTATTTTAATTTTAATAATAATGATTAATATAATAAAACTGAAATACGCAACTCTTTGCTTGACTCTCGTCATTTTCAAACGAATGAAAAACCAGAAGACACCAGTGGAAGGTGGGGGCGTCAGAATTCCACTACGAGTTGAAAAGAATGCAACTCCACACGTGACAAACATCACTTTTGGAGTTTCATTCGTCGTAACTCACAGTTCATAACCCATTTATAATTACTTCCAAATATTTAACTAGTTGGATTCAATATTTCAACAACTAAGTAACGATAAAAGTCAGTAAGAATGCTTCATTATAAAAAAAATAACAAGCACACGAATATTCCCAATACAATTTTATTCGATACGAACTATTCACAAAATACATTCAAAATAAAAATTTAAAAAATCCAAAATAGTCACTAATCATTACGAATCGTTAACTCGATATCATTAGCCAAAAATCAGAAAAAGGCTGGCCATTCTACGACTTCCCTCTGTGTTTTCACTCACGAACCTACGCAAGAATATAAAAAACGGGAGAGTTGCGTTCTTCAAAACCTTTAAAAACGTTATAATTAAACACTCTATCGTCAGTTATTCCATCTTGATTTATCATAAATCATAATTTACTTAATTGCCGAAGTTTACTTATAATAAAAATTTTTCCGATAAATCGAAAAAGAAAGCGGAAGTTTATTTGTTTTTTTTTCTTCCAACAAAACGGCGCCAACAATGGAAACATCCAACATTGCATTATAACAATTGCTTACTTTCGACAAATACGTGACACGCGTTACTTCATAATATCAATCGATTTGACAAGATTTCAATACTCTCTCTTGTTATGTGTGCACGAAACATCAGTGAAAAAAAAAAACACATTTTTAACCCAGTAGTATTTGACACAATTAGAAAAAAACAATGTGAAAAAATTAAAAATATAATCGTAGTGTTAGAAGCGATGCCGATAATTTCACTATTCTAAAATAAAAATTGCCGACCTTATTTATCTTTTGACCTCTCGATCTTTAACCACCAAAATTTAATAACATCAATTCTCCTAATAGTCAAACATCCCTGGAAAATATAAAAATCGTTCGAAAAAAGCATAAGAGTTATTAAACTTCAAACAGGGTAAACGAATTCGTGTCTCTCCACACAAACATACTAACATTCAAACATAGAGAGATTACCCAAATTTTTTTTTTTTTTGAATTTCTCGTCGTTTCAATGTGTTCAAGTACAAAAATGTAAAAAATATTAGATGGTCATTTTTCAACCGATCGCCATACTTTCCCTCTGTTCTATATAACAGCCGGGAAAAGACAAAAACATTTATTTTAAAATACAGTAATTAAACACATTCTATCGTTTAGTTAAAATATTTGAAAAAAAATAAAGTAATATTTTTTAATAAAATGTTTAAACATTTGTTAATGAATTCATAATAAATTTAAAACACAATTCGTCAAAAAATAATAATAAAATTGATCGGTGTCATTCGTTTAAGAATGTGCTTGGAAAGCATTTTTTATTATTGTTGAACTACGCCGTATCTAACGTAAAAACCGATCGAAGTTTATCTTGAAAAAAACGAAATTTTTTCTACAAGGTAAACTTCAATTGGATTTAAAATAGGAAAAACTACCTTGTAAATAATGCTTAAATACTAAAAATTTGAAATAGAGATTTAAATATAAGCACACTTACGATTTGATATTTGTTATTAATTAAATACTTAATATATTTAATAACATAACGGCTTCTCTATAACATGTTAGTCAACTACCATTTCACTGAACTAATACTCCATATAAATAAATGGTGGCGTTTTATTCGAAATTATCATCTCATTTATATAAACTGTAGGTGAAGATCAATTGCACTCTAACATTTTCTTCTGTGTACAAAATAAATAAATAAAATATAAAAAATAGATCTGTTTCCTTGATTATTAGAAGAGTTATTTCGTTTTTCAAGGAGACATGTTTAAATTCGAATGCTGAATGTGTACTTTTAGCTTCAAGGTAAGCATTAAAACAATCAGATATAAATATAATATAATATAAATAGTCATTTTTCTGTTATAATAAATTTATAAAGTTTAGTATTATCAAGCTGTGTTTCCTTTCTAGAATTATTTATATCAAATTTGTTAATTCATGCCCATGCTGTATAAAATAATTATTAAATTATATAAAAGGTAATCAGTATTTTCTTCATTGAAATAAATTCAGAATGTCAGTTTATAATAATATTTTTCCACGTTATAAATAATCTCTTATATAAAGTGTATATGAAAATAACCGGTTAACACGTAACTATGACCTTAAAAAAATATAAAAGATATCCAATAGAATGAGCATTTCGCTATAACTAGATATTCTAGTTACTAATTCTTCTGTAAACTTGCTTTTATAAAGGAAAGCGTAAGTAGAAGTATTTGACTTGTGTTAATATTAATTATGAATTACAATAATATGTAGGAATATTTAACATATATTATTTAATATTTGACGAAGAGTATTAAACAGAAAACGGTGTAGTTATAATAAAATATGTTCTTTATAACTTTAAGAGATTCTTATTCCGAAAAATATGTATGATCATGAAGTAAAAATTTAACATATTGTATTTTTAAATTTATAGCCCAAAATGAGTGGAATGAAGATAAAGGAATCAATATTTGAAGAAGAAAAAGAAGAGTTTCCTTGGGACGAAAGTGCCTTGAAATCTTTCAAAAATCTTATCAGTAAGTAGATCGTTTTAATTGTTAGATGATAACAGAAAAAATCGATCGCGTGTTAAAATTAGTAGGCCTATATCAACTGTTTGTGGTTGAATGTTGAGAAAAAATGCCTTAGGCCATCCATATTTTTATATCTAAACTATTCTATTCCTATTGGAGGATCGGTAACGTTACTGCGGATTTCAAATAGTCATTTATCTATATATATAACCCATTCATTTCGTGTCCGTCCCGTAACCGTTACTAGAGGCGCACCTATCGTGTGTCATATTTCAAACACCAAATTAAATTAACAATTTTAATTATTATTTAAATTAACAATATAAATTATTNTGTATTTATTTCGTTTGTAAAACATAAAGATATCATTATTAACTATACAATAGCCACGATTATTATTTTAAAAACTTTACGTTAGGCTTAACATCGACGAAAATTCAACGCGAAGCGACACGCAACGGAGAAAAATTTCAACACGGGATAGATTAATATATTTTTCTCACATAATCGGTTATCCGAAAAATAAGTTATCCGAACAACCCGTCCCCAATTGATTCGGATAAACGACGATCTACTGTATTTTGAAAATAATACGATCTGTTTCACAGCCTAATTATGAAAACATAATGAACTAATATCTATGTTCTTGATTCCTATTAGGCGACCAACGCATTACGTGTCTCATGGATGACATTTTCCTGCTCGGATTTCTACGTGCTACAGAATATGATTTGCCAAGTTCTCTCCAGTTGCTTAAGANTTAAAAGAACGAGAGAATATTGTACGCTCCTTTTTTTTCACTTATTTCCTATTCACTGATTTTACCAAATGTTTGCAATCGCAACATGTAGTAGGACATTCTTCTTGATTATGTTAGTCGATGATAGAGAGAAAAGAATTAATATTCAATTTTAATCTTACGTAAAAATTATTTATGTTCTGTTAGAAATTACTGTTAGTATCCTGGTCTTCTTAAAATTTGTCTTTTTAATATGACTTATTGCACTGGTGTAATTTTCGATTAGTAAATAGAAAAGATCGCAGTCAAAAGTCAAAAGAAAATATCCTTTAATTTTGCCTGTACTCTCTGTGTTTTGGACCTGTAAGCCCTTCTTCTGTAGGTTTAAAATATTCTATAACAATTCTTAAAAAGTTTTTTTTTTTAAAAAACAACAACAGTATTGTATCCGACAATGATATTTAAAATAAAATTACTTACTGTTTTTTTTATTGTCTACTATTAATATAACACGAATACAGACGAATACAGACGAATACAGACGAATACAGACGAATCAGTAAAATCTCGTAATATAAGGTTTTCTAAAATATTCCTGTATAAAATGATAAAATCTATTAAATAATTGAAGATTTAAAAAAGTGTCATTACTCACTGACATACATTGGCTATTTTTTCTATTATATTCTTACTTTCTTATTCTATAATATTTTCTATTGTTATTACTTTTCTACACGTTACGTTCTCTAAAAGAATATTATTGCATGATTGGTGAATTTTTCTTTCTATAGTAGCAATGTATTGTACAGTACAACCACTATGTTTGTGACATTTTTGTTTTTGAAAAATATGTGAAAACGTAGCATTGATTTAAGGAATATTTCGAAAATAATTCGATATATTTCACAGCCTGATTATGAAAACATAATGAACTAATATCTATGTTTTTGATTCCTATTAGAAGACCAACGCATTACATGTCTCATGGATGACATTTTCCTTCTCGGATTTCTACGTGCTACAGAATATGATTTGCCAAGTTCTCTCCAGTTGCTTAAGAATTACTATAACACACGAGTAAATTATCCCCAATACATTAAAAATCTTCTTCCGTCCAAAATGGAGGATGTTGTGAACCTGAATATTTTGCAATTTTTGCCAAAACCCGATCAAAATGGAAGTTATATTTACTTTTTTCGGTTTGGTAAGTAGGAATTTTACTTTCTTGTATTTTATTTTTTTCATTTCTTCGATTGCATGTGAAGTTATAATTAAGAAAACGCTGTTATAGTTTCTTACTTTAAATTTTGATTACATAAATTATTAAGATAAGCTTCGTTATTAGGCCTGAGAACTTAACAGATGTTTAGCTCCCAAGTGTAAAAGTTGACAGTTATTCAACGAAAGTATACCTACGATGTGATATTATGATATAATGATGTAAACACACGGAAAGTCTGGATTCGGATATTATATTATTGATAATATTACTATAGAATTACTTTTAAAACTAATTTCTTTCACAGCCAACTGGGATACGACTGTTGCAAATGCAATTGATGTAATACGTGTTATACTGCTTAAAAGGGACCTTCAATTAAATTTACATCGAACTCAAGAAAAGAAAATCACTTGTATCGTAGATGGCGACGGATTATCTCTGTCACATTTCTGTAATTTCACGCCAACAATCATCAGTGCTTTCGCCACACTTGCTCTTGTAAGTAGCGTTATGTGTTGTCAGACTTAGTCTATATACGTTAAGTTTAATGATTTTATTATACGAAATGTCGTGAATTTACGGTGGACTTTATTAATAGGTGTGTGAAACTGCAAAAAAATAAAATCGAACAACGAGTTGCTTAGCTTTCCCATCAACATTTGGTGGCGCCATCTGTTATGATATTTTATTAAAATTTTTGTTAACTATTATAAAATAGCAAAAAGCTTAATTATAAGGGTGGGGTTGGGCTTCATAAAAAATTTTTAATGCTAATAAATGTTTAAGGAAGAGTTTACAAGCATTTATTTTATTGTGACAACCTCACAATGTCGGGCTGCAATTTTCACTTATGTTTTTAATTTATTTAAGTTAAAATAAATGTTTTCCACTTCAAATTAGTAGTGTTTTGCTCCTGCATACCATGCATTTCCTAATAATGGAGTTGTGCCAGTTCTCTAGCCTTCCATTTGTAAATTTTTGAATTGAAATAATCGTATACTGGTAATAGGACGTTTAATGCCTTTAAATTTTCTAAAGTTTACAGGCAGGAGTTTCTAAAAAGCTTCGAGGGCTATTGAAATTCGGTCACGACTTTTATCTATCTAACTCCGTTCTAGATATTAAGAACGGACAGACAAAAAGGCAGAGACAGTGGGGATTTATAGGTCTATATTTATTTATTTATTTATTTATTTTGGTAATTGCAGCCCAATTACATGATTAAATAATATAAATTGTAATACACAAATTTCGCATTGTATAATATAATTGTATTAGTAATATAAGGAAGAGTAATGATTCAGAGGAACGTTTACTTATAAAAATATACTTTTATATAAACTTTAAATTCCAATAACATTTATTATTGTCTGTTAATTTACATAAACCTTCCTAAGCAATTTATCAGATATTTTTAGATAATTATTACTGCCCTTTATCCTTATTTACATCCTTATACACATTTACATCTTCTATACCAGAGCTGTTATATATAACAGAAGGTAAGTATGGCCAGAAAATGTTTGTGTTTTTTTTCTATATGTGTAATATGTATATTATACATACAGCAAATTGTGTAAATAGCGATATTGGCAGACATACTTAAATAGATTACATACCCTTGATTTAGAGTATTATTTTGGTGGGGTTTATTAATTATGCAGGTAAGTGATGCTGATTTAAAATTAATACATTCGTATTAATGACTTAAATATTATACTGTATTAGTTATTATAATGCGTATCTGAATTTCTGTTATGCTATTGTTTATATAGCTTTGCATATCTGAAGAGATAATTAAAAGTACTTAAATAATAAAGAAATTGTATTGAGAACAATAACTAATGATAACATACTAAATATTTTAACAATGTTTTCAATATTTTTTCAAACAGGGAAGTTCTTATCCTTTACAATTCAGAGCAATACATTACGTGAACGTGAATGTCATATTGAAAGCTTTATTAAGCGTTTTCATTCCACTTCTACCAGACAAAATCAAGAAGACGGTGAGCATTTTCAATTCTGTTATTAATTTATGAAAGTATAATTAAGGCTGTCTTTTATTTTACTTTGATTTAAATGCTCATAAAAGCTGAGTAATTTCATTTTTGCCTGTAAGCATAATTTCCAATTTCTTATACGCAATGAAAATTTCAGATCCATATTCATTCTGATATGAAAACTTTGGCCGATTTCATCAGTCCAGATCGTCTCCCTTCACTAGTTGGTGGAAATTTGCCATTTTTCGACCCAGCTGAAGCTAACAAAATGCTTAAAGCTAATGAAGAATTCTTCCGAAGGAACGAAGAATACGTGAAATTATACGAGAAATCAATTAAAAATAGTAATGGAGACAAGTCTTTATACAACGATGAAAAGTCGAAAGAATTTATTGAAAAGGCAGAAGAAATATTTGATTGCCATTCTAAAGATCCCGAAGCTTTCATAGCTTGTATGAAAGAGAATTCCAAATTTGATATTGATGCTTTTTAAGGAAGAACATTTCTTCTAAAATTGGTTATAACTTGAACTAACAAAATTAGATAATTCTTAATTATATCATTACTTAAAACTATGTTTGGAAATAAAATTGATATACTTGTTTATTAATTAAAGAAATTTAACGAAAAACAATACTGAATTTATCATTCGTAATGAAGTAGAAACACAGGCAGTGCTTGTTTTCTCACACTTTTGATTATCTTTAATTGGTTAATAGCTAAACGGTCTACGGTTGAAAGATTACAGTTTACCATTTCGGGAGACCCGGAAACGAGTCTGAACGGGTCAAAATCTAAAAAAAAATTTTGGTTAATGTTCGTCATGTAATATTTAGTGATTACATTTAAAGTTTAATTTCTGTAATTTTTCATCTGTAACTTAAAATGTATTAGTTGTGAAGTGTGTACATGAAACTTCGAGAAATAACAAAACAGTTAGCGGAATCAATTCTAAAATAGTGATAATAATTTGCGTTGAATTGATTTCGAAACATAGGGTTGAACCGCTCTTCACAGAGAAATTCGAACGGACACGATTTCATGTGAACTGTAGGCCTATTATTATAGTGTTTATATTAATTGAAACCTAAAGGTTTTGGACGTGTTAAGTTTCCAAATAACACAGTTACATTTTGAACTGTAGCACCACGAAGGATGTGTAGGAGATAAACGATAAATAGACTTCATAATCAAAAGTGGCAAGCAATATGATGATGGAATCCGAAAGAAATGAAAACTTAAAAGTTTTCATCAACAGTAGGACACAATACACTAATAGTTAAATTACTTTCTTCCTCAGTATCATCAAACAAAACAGTTATATCTTCTGTGAATTACAGGAAGGAAAATAATTTCCAACTGATGTTCATAGATTGCGTGATTATGGTACAACATAATGGAAGACACATTAATAAATATTCATTTTAAACAGGTAAGTGCGATATATCTGGATAAGAATAATGATATTTTAATAGACCATTAATTACTTTTATAGTTGCTTATTAAATCATAGGATATAAAAATTATTACACGATAGACTGTTATAATGATAAAAGGCATTGATTTTAAATAAAAAATATTGTTAAATAGAACACGTGTGAATTGTTAAACTATTTTATCGTGATAAATAATGAAGATCTTGCACAGGATCAATATTACAAGTTAACTTTTGTATAGTTTAAGACAAATCTACATAAAGTGAAGAACATCCGATTATAAAATTTAAAGTTCTGATAAGTAATAAAATCTTTAGAATATGCAAAAAAATATAATCGTAAAAATGTTAGCAGCAAAACCAACCGATGTTGTACT